GGTACTATACATATAGAGTACGTGGGAGCTTGTTCAAATACCATCCGTATTTCGACACTGGGAGTCCCTGTGTGTATAGACGTCATCTGGCATGAAGTGGTTCATTAATTTTTGTGGTCTGTTCTTTCAGTTTCTGGTATCCATCCCCCATGAGCGACGTCTTCTCTTACGGACAGTACATCACTGGAGGATTTGTGTTTCTCCAAGACATGCTTGACCAAGGGATTATCAAGGCCTCTCTCGGGAAGAAAGATGCTGGTGCAGGCACCTACATCCAGGAAATGCCCTACCCATGCTACACGGATGACTTGTGAGTCTATGGTGTGATAAAAATCTTAAAGGTCAGTCAGAGCTTGACCATCGCTAGGAGAGAATGAGTCATCAAGGTTGCTGTGTCAGGGTGAATAAACAAACAAAAGCCAGCACAATTGAAACTTGTAAATGCTAAAATGTGTACAACATCGAGGGCTTAGTGTTGGAATTTGGTGATTGCAGAAAATGATTGGTTAGAAGTAGGAAATTAATTACCAACAGAAAAGGTTATGATTTGTGAATTGCTTGTGAATGGTGCCCTGCTTATGCTTACTCAGCACGCAAAATTGCTGAGCAGTATTTTTGGAAAATAGAAGCAGGCATTACAATTGGATCCTGTGCTCAGTTGTGCATGTCCTGCTTAATATATGATGCCCAGTAGATCAAATTGGGAGGTTATATTTAAGCCACACCACTCAAAAGCAGTCATGGATATAGCATGCATGAGCACTTCTTTAAATTTCACAGCTTCATTAACACCTTGGGAGCCGCTCTGCCACTCTTCATGGTCCTGGCCTGGGTCTTCTCAGTGGCCATGAACATCAAGGACATCGTCCTGGAGAAGGAGCTGCGGCTCAAGGAGGTGATGAAGGTGATGGGCATGGGCAACGCCGTGCACTGGGTGGCCTGGTTCCTCAACAGCTTCGCCGTCATGCTTGTTAGCAGCAGCTTGCTGGTCCTGGTGTTGAAGGTGAGTGTGCACTGGTGTGATGTCTGTTTCCCACCCTGTTGGAGTTGATTCATCTTGGCTTTGGGCAAGGATTCCGGCTGGCATGAATGGCAGAATGAGGCTGTGCATCAGATTGATGATTAAACAGGCCAAACCACACTGAAACATTTTATCAGATATTAACTGAATCTGATCTGAACCTAGCTGAGCTCCCTAAAGCCAATCCGAAAAAAGTGAGGTGAATCTGACCCAAATTGACATAAAACCAAACCCAAAAAGCAAAGCCTGAATACCTGACTTGGACAAATCCTCCTATAATTGTCTGCCTCTTGTTCCTGATCTTATAATTTTCCTCATTTTAGGAATTCTTCTTGGAAAAAGAATTGCCAGAACTCAAAGCTGTTTTATTGTACCTCTGTAACAGTTTCAGCTGGCGTGTAGAAATTAATACTGTGGGAAATTAAAACTCATGATCTTGGCCAAACCAGCACTGTGACACTGGCGTAATAATAACTATTTTATTTAACCAAGATGGCTTAACTGAACCAATCCAACCCAAAAATGGCAACTGGAAAGCCGAGATGAACCTAGCCAACTGAAGTAAGGTGGAAAAACCGGACCTGACCTAAAGTTGGTTTCGAGTCTGGTCATTTTCAAGTTCTGGTTGGATTGGCACAATATTAATGGAGAAATTAGGATAGGAAAAGGCTGACTTTTTGTATACATCTAGTTTCCTTGATGCAGAGGGCATCACCAAACAGTCCCTGATGGTGCACAGTCATACAGGAATGCTTTAGCGATACTGTTGTGGACATAGATACAGTCATCAAAGTTGGATCATGTTCAACTTTGCTAACTGTCATTACAATAGGCCCATACAAGTACACATGGTGGCATGGTGGGTGTACAACAATGCCCATCTCACTTGAGTGCCATGCATTGGTCCCATTTTTCTTATTATGGGCAACAAAAGAAACGCGGTTGTGAACACTATAGCTAAATGTGATTGTAATATTTCCAATTAAAGTGCAAATTTAGCTTCTAAAAACAGTCTAGCCACCTTAACAAGGCATTTTGCATGAAAAGTGTCAGAGTTATGGGTGCTATAATGCATTCGTTTTATTTTCCGTGTCAAATGACATCACACACCAGCTGTTCCATAACTGTTGTGATCTTGTCATTGTGCAGAGGTTTTCCACTGCAGTTAAAGACCCTGAGCCCAAAGTTCTGTTACCATTTGGTTCTTGTATGTATTTGGAGGAAAGCTAACACTTGCTAGCTTATGGACCAACAAAAATGATATCAATGCTGTACTGAACCGTGTATCTTGTGGAATGTATTTTGGGCTGTTGTTCAACCTGACTTCCCAAAGTCAATCACCTGACTTTTCAATATGTATATTACATTTCAGGTGGGCAACATCATCATCAACACCGACACGTCCATCCTCCTCTTGACGATGGTGTCCTTCAGTTTCTCCTCCATCGCCCTCTGCTTTCTGATCAGCACGTTCTTCTCCAAGGCCAACCTGGCGGCAGCGTGCGGTGCTGTGATTTTCTTCCTGACCTACATCCCCTACAGCATGGCCTATGCCTGGGATTCTAGGTTGCCCCTCCCTGCAAAGTTTGCCCTAGTAAGAAACCCAAATAAAGTACCCCGCTTACCTGGTTTCATGCTATCCTTGTACCTAACAGCATCATGTGGATGCTTATAGGCATAACTAAGGTGTAGAATGTTTGAATTTTCAGTAAAAAAGAAAACTCTAGAAAACATCTTGTACATTGCGCCATGTACACCACCTGGGAAGATTGCGCGCAGTTTGAATGAAGCAGTAGATAGAGTACTTATGTTCTTAGAAAGCTGGAGGAAAAAAATGGGCCAAACAAAGTTTGCCTGTCAGTTAAAAACTAAAACGGACATTTATTTTTCTTTCAAATCATTCTCTGTTCTCAAGTTACAGCTTTCCACTCTGGTTCACATGAAGAACAGTTTGTAAAGTGCTCAAGGCAGAGCACACACATTTAAAAATCATCAGGGAACACTGCTGACATCATGTGACAATCCAAAAACTTCGTTGTGTGCCATGTACTAGTTGGGCCTGTTTAACATTGAATGATGGTATATCATATATCTTGCAGAGCCTATCTAACACCATGGCATTCGGGTATAGCTGTCAGTATTTGAGCCTGTTTGAGACCCAGTCCACAGGGGTGCAGTGGGGGAACATCAATGACATGCCTCAAACCTCGGCAGAATCCATGACCTTCTTACAAGTCTTGGCTATGATGTGGGTGGACACCTTCATCTATATGCTGCTGACGTGGTACATTGAGGGGGTCTTTCCAGGTATGTCTGAGGATAGGAATTAAGAAATAAATTACTAAAAACGAGTGCACTTTACAACACATAACGTGATTTGTGAAAACCCATGACATTTTTTATTCTCAAAAGTTTTTGTATCTCACAAAAAACATAGCCTGCAGAGCTCTTACCTAGCATACATGTAGGCCTAGTTAGTTTAACAATTATTCATGGACTCGCCATCAAAAGAATGAACCAGGGATGATGAGATTTCAAGGTGCCATAAATAAGATGCAACTTAGATGTCAAGACCATCTTCTGCCGTCTGACATTTACACATTGTGAATCGTTTTACCAGTATTGGGGGTCTGGAGGCCGGATTTTCAAAGCCTTGGCCTGGGCCTCGGTCTCGCTCCCCAATGACTCGGTCTTGGTCTTGGCCTCAGAGACCCTTGACTCAAGACTCAGCCTTGGCCTCAAAGATTGTGGACTCGACTCCAACACTGGTTTTTACAGATTTCTTCTTCTTGAAGCTACCTTCAATTGTTAAATTCCCTGATTGTAAAGCATTTTCCGTGTCAGCACTCCACATGCTATGCCGAGTCACAGTGATTCTTAGGCTCAAGTCCATTTTTTCTACATACATTACATATTTCTGCAGGTGCCTATGGCATACCTCGTCCCTTCTACTTCCCATTTCAACGATCCTATTGGTGTGGTTCTCGGACAACTGATGCTCTCGATGAGGAGGTTTTAACATCTAGCAATGACCTGCTGACAGGTAACTTGGCCATGGCATACAAAGCACTGCGAAATGCTTTGCGTTGACTGGCTCACAGTTTGTCTCCTAGTGAACATCCAAGAAATATTGTTTTGTCTTTTTTTCTCTGGAAAGTGCAACTCTGCTGTGAAAAGATGTCAGATATCTGTATGGCTGGAGAAAAGGTTTAAAATTTGCTTTGATGCTATATACACACTTTCAGATTCGAAAGTATTTGTGAACTGCACAATACCTGAAATCACTTCCTTTTGGAGAGTTACTTAAATTTTGGTTTTATGGCAAAATTGATTCTCAAGACCTGTGTCACATCATTCATTGCTTTCCTGGTGTCTTATTGTTTCAGATAATGCAGACTTTGAGGCGGAGCCAACCCATCTGAAGCTGGGAGCCTCAATCTGCAACTTGTACAAGATCTACAAGACGGGCAAGAAGCTGGCTGTCAACAATCTCAGTGTCAACTTCTACGAGGGGCAGATCACCTCGTTCCTTGGCCACAACGGTGCAGGCAAGACAACAACAATGTAAGTAGGGAGGCAGGGACACCACTCACTCCCAATGCAGTCGATACTGTAAACTCTTATTAAGTCGAACGTCAGTAAGAACAAATGACAAAAATTGGGGTGTTCTGATTTCAAGTCAAGTAACACTCCAGATTTTCTCCATGGTGAAACCTAATTATCAGCACATTCATCAGGAAAATGTTTTCACTGTTACTGGCTCTGCCACGCTGGATTGTCACAATGGATACATTTGTTCATCCTTTTATTGATTTTGATAGTGTTTTTGTTTTGAAAATATTTTTATAAGATTTGATATTGTTCTCACAGAAAGATGTCTGATTAATGAACATAACAAAAGAGCCAAATTGTTGGTGGCAAATCTTTATTTTTTGCCATTTTTCACTGATGCCTGAGCATCCACTGCCCCACACATGCCACAAACTACATCTGGGCCAGCAGTAGTAATTAGGTTAACTTGAAAGCCAGGTGCACACCGTGTTGTGGACTTACTTTTGGAAACCACCAAAAAGAACCAGTGATCAGTTGTGATCGGGCAAACTCATTGTTGCAAAATTCACGTTGTGACTTGTCCAATCACAGAGGTAGAATGGATGTCTGGTCGCATCCTGAAAAGACGAAGTGCTTTTGAGGAGTGATGATTCATTGAAAAGTTTTACACTGTTTACACTTGCTAATGACTGTTTTGGCAGTGGTCTCTTCATATTAGCTGCAGGTACTGGTGTAGGCAGTTTGAGTCGCAAATGCATTCGTGTACATGATATCCTATTCTCCTAATGAAAATGGAGAGTGACATTGAGATAAATGGAGTTTAGTCAAGTCTTCCAAAAGTGTACTGTGACACATTACTAAGGTCACAGTAACACCGGACATTGATGGTTTATGGACGTACCACTAGAAGCAAATTTGTGAGTTAGAGGGTTGTTGACTAGAACATTCGGAGGGCAAGGTAGAAGTATGCTGACTTGTCTAGCCTTTGAGCATAATGCAAATTGATGAATTCCGTACTGTGCACTGTGCAGGTCCATTTTGACGGGGCTTTTCCCTCCTACGGCCGGCACAGCCTACATCTATGGCAAGGACATCCTGAGAGACATCAGTCGAATCCGCAAGAGCCTTGGCATGTGCCCTCAGCACAATGTGCTCTTTGACTAGTAAGAAGCATACTGGTTATATTAACCACCTCCCCCTTTCAAAATGCAACGATTTGTTGGTGTTTGCTGAATTTTTGAAGAATTCCCTTTGCTGAAAGGTTCAGCTAAGGCTGCATATGCATCATCAAAAAACTTTTGAAATAATTCATTTAATTATTGCACATTGTTTGTTTACGCATCGGGTGATTTAAACATTTTGACAACATTTTATTGCATTCCATGGAGGAAACTGCATCATTAACTTTTTTATCCATATTTAACAGTCCATTTTCTTAAATAAAACTTTATCCCTTGCGTGATCTTGTTTTAGCCTGACAGTAGCAGAGCACCTCTGGTTTTATGCCAGGGTGAAGGGTGCAACAAATCAGGAAATCCACATTGAAATGGAGGAGATGCTGAAGCACCTGCGGCTACAGCAGAAGAGGAACGAATTGGTGAACAACCTGTCTGGTAATAAACCCATCGTTAGATCAGAGTTTCAAGTGCACTGCACACATCAAAGCATTCCATCCAAAGATCTCAGCAATTTTCATCTGAAAAATGGTAAAGGTGTTTCACCACACTGAACTACCACATGGTAACAATGATAGCTCTGTTTTTGAAGTTTTGCAGCTGTATCCATAATAATAGACATTTTTGACATTTGCAGTGCAGATCATGTGATCAGATTTCAAACAAGCAGCACATTTTACGCACAACACTATGGAAAGTGCCCCAGTTTCCACCACATCTAATACTTGAAAAATGAAGTCCTTCTCTTTCCCCAGAGTGTGGTATTGAAGATGGAGACTAAAGTTATCCACAAAAATCAGATTTGGAGCCCGACCAGAAAAAAAAATTGGGGGGAATCCCCTCCATGATTCCATTGGACTATGATCATGTATTGGCCAATCAGAATCAGGGTTTATGAAGCTCATTCATCAGGCACTGACCAATCATGTTCATTTTCAGCCTGCAGTGACTCGTGCCATACTGGCAAACAAGACACTTGAGGGTGACTTGTTTCTTCTTGTGAGCTTTTGAAACATTGTGTTTTTTTACTTTAAAAATATTTCTAATGTATCTTACCTCTCTCTGTGTCTTAATGGAGGAAGTCTTTCCCCCCTCCCTTATTTAAGGTTCTCTGCTAGTTTCTGTGCTGGCATTTAATATAATGTTCAAAATCCATTCTGATGCACAGCTTCATTTTTGTTTTGTAACGGAACTTCTTTTTTTCAGGTGGAATGAAACGCAAGCTGTCCATTGCCATAGCCTTTGTGGCTGGGTCCAAGATGGTCATTTTGGATGAGCCGACGGCAGGAGTGGATCCCTATGCGAGGAGGGAGATCTGGGAGCTACTTGGCAAATACAAGGAAGGTCAGTTCCATACCTGTGCCTTAGCTTTCTGCTGTAGATTGTTTAGATTGTTAGCGTCGCATTACCAGACCAAAAGGTTTGAACAGAGGTGTGAGTGAAGTACATGAAAAGTCAGACATTTGGAACAAGTGGGAGCACAGTAGGAGCAAATATATACTTGTTCCAATGTTGTGGAGACTGGAAATAGTATAGGGAGCAAATTTATTTTGATGGAATTCAGACCGTGCATTAGGATGCTTAGGGAGTTGTAGCTCAGACATTGTTTTGTCATACTGTACGGCACAGGCCGCACTATCATCATGTCCACCCACCACATGGATGAGGCAGACGTCCTAGGTGATCGCATCGCCATCATCTCCGCCGGCCAGCTGAGATGCTCCGGATCCTCCTTGTTCCTCAAGGGCCGCTTCGGCAATGGCTACTACCTGGTCCTCAACAAGTGCATACCGGGCAGTGACATCCCGCTCTCTGCCCAGCCCATTGGCGACCTGGCCTACAACACTGCCCTGAGCAAGGGTCCGGATGTCGTCACAGAGGCGATAATGAATCGCCAGGAGGAAGACAAGAAGAGGGGGATGGACTTGGATGTTGTTGAGCCAACTGAGGCAGGCTTTAATGCATTGACTAACAATTACCCTGTCCAACCCAGAGTTGGTGGATCTCCTAACTTACCGATATTTTTGAGATAAGATGTGCTTTTAAATAGTTTTACAAATACTAGCATATTGAAATGGAACTATGTCTAATTTTTTCCACGGATGAACATATTTCTAGCCATGCTTACTTTGAAACTTTGATTCAATCTGAGCTGCCCAATTTCCCCAGGCTGTGTATCAGAATTTTTATCTTCATGTGGATATCTGCATAATTAATTTTAAGCAGGTTTTTTATGACTAATCTAACGTTTGATGAACAGATGAAAGTTGCCCTTGAGCTGGAGGAGAATGATCTGCAGCCCAAGAAAGCAAAGCCACCTATTGACATACCAGGTAACAGGCTAAAGAGTGAAGTTGATCTTCACAGTACATTCACATGGAGTATAAGCAACCAGATGGAATATTTAGGGTGGCTAAAATATTGCATCTTTATTCTGTGCTGCTTTGATGCTCATGTTCCTACATATTTCAATCATTTAGAATGCTGTCAGCTAAAATGTGGAGTGGGGGTTGAAAAAAAAACACAACAGAGCAGTCAAAATGTCACCTAGACTGGCCCCTGTGACATCTCGTATGGTACCTCATACGGAGAATAACTGATAAGATCAATGTGAACGTTTTAAGTGAAAAACATGAAGTCTTCCAATTGTTGTTGGCCCACCAGATGGAGGCTCTTGTCAGGAGTCGGTTGTGACCCGCTTCATCCAGAGCTACCTCCCCTCAGCAACACTGTGTGAGAACCTCGGCACGGAGCTGAGCTACATACTGCCCTCATCAGCCACAGAGGTAGGCTGTCTGGAGTTCCTCTTCAAAGAGCTGGAGATGTTCAAGGATCAGCTCTACATCACCAATTTTGGCATCTCGGACACCTCCTTGGAAGAGGTAGGTTTCCTTTTCAATGAAGCGCTAGACAGGTATCTTTTTTTGCCTTCAGTGAACCATAAACTGTTGCACATTTAAACTTTCTCACAGCTGAGGGTTTCCCCTTCTCCAGTTTTGTTAACTCATACATATTCATGATCAGGAGCTGAATTCTCACTGGTCCATGCATCAACACTTGCCAGTCACTATTTTTGCTGTTTATACCAGGCACACATGCGAGGAGCCACGCACAAGTTGAATATGCTGGTGTACTGAACAGTTCAGTGGTACTGTGGCATGGGCTGTTGAGAACTAAAACCATGCGCAAACACTTTTCCATTTGCAGTTGGGAAAAAGGTTTTTTGCTATTTACCCTTCATTCAAAATTTGGACTTTTGCAAGAGGAATGTATCAAACATTTATGCAAGATGTCTGCCGAAAAGTTATGGAGGCTCACTGTGAGGGAAACTGCATCACACTGGTAAAGTGTACAGTTATGTGTAGGTACATAAATGCAGACTAAGATGTGGGTAATTCCAGAAATTAGGGGTCCAAAAGTGTGACATTTTTGTGTCCTTGTTACATCTGTCTTTTGTTTGACAGATTTTATTTCAAACTGTTACTATTTGTTTGGCAGGTAATTTGCATTAATTCATCGGTCTTGGAAATTAGAAAATGTGTTCTGAACTTACAAAATCATACGTCAGATGTGACAGGGACACGAAAACAAATAGACCCCTAATTTCTGGAATTACCCATTTTACTTGTGGAGCCTCCCTGATCAACACAGTGTGCCATCCGTTGTAGGTCTTCCTGTCTGTCACCGATGACATAGGAGTCTTTAACCAAGGTGAAACCACCCAGGGGACAGACGACGGTGCCCTGCCACGTCCCTTTATGGGGCGGGGCAGTCTGAAGAGGCGGAGTTACCAACTCCCGGCCCAGAGCACCAGCATCAAGGAACGGCGCAGACGCAGTGTCAAAGTGCGACGCAACCAGGGAGTCCAGCCCACTGAATCTGCCAATGGGGAGGCTGTCCTCGGTGACGATGGTAAGATTGGATGGAGATAAAAATAATAACAAAAATTGTAAAATTTTTATTGCAACTTTTACATGAAGAATGATTGAATTGTCAAACAAACCATATAGGAAAACTGACTAGGTGCTTTAAAAGTTATGAAGATGAGCAAAGAAATTGATTGGAGCTGGATTTGAACCCACGACCTCTGGAACACCAGTCTGGTGCTCTACCAACTGAGCTATCCAGCCCTATTTGGCGTTTCTTCCCATTTGTTCTTACCACTGTTCAGGGGTCATTAGTCAGAAGCCATAAAACCCGAAACAGAACACAGCCAGGTATCACACCCTAAATACATAATACAACTTGGGAAATTGCAGTACGGGGGATACGTCTGTCCAGCTAGCAGGGACTAATTATTGTGTAAGCCTACCACCCTGCTGACATAAGTAAGGTCCCCATCTTGATTGGGGACAACTGTCTCTAAAACCTATGTTGGCAAAATTGTATTTAGCTAACTGGCACTTCAGCCCCAGAGAAAGAATAAGCACGATAAGGGTCTTTACACACAAAAAGGGTACAAATTGGTGACACGGAATTAAGAATTAAATCAAGCTGAGCTGTTTGCTTTTGATTCCAGTAATGACCAGGCCGGGTACTTACATTTTTATCCTTAGAAGTGGATGCTAAACACGGGACAGCTCAGGAGCCTGCGGCAGATACCCAGAACTTAGACAGCATTAACCTGGAGGATGCCGCGGAGAGCGACTGTCCTGGCCAAGAGGCTGACAACCAGCCCCATGGTAACCACCGACAGCGTAGCTACAAGTCTAGCCTGAAGCTGAACCGGCAGTCTAGCCAACAGACCAGCCGGCCCAAGATGCACCGGCAGATCAGCCGGCAGCTCAGCCGGCAGCTGATACGGCAGGCCAGCCGAGAGGCCGTGGAGATCCAGCAGAAGAACAGTAAGTCACGTCCATGTGGCATGTCACATTATCCATCCATTATTTGTGTCCATCTACCCAGAGTGGCAGCATGAAAGGATGGATGTTTTTATACAGCAACAATAGCGCAAGAGGTCACTTGGTGTAGAAATAGCTTAATTGTGCACTTGGCACTGGTTACGCTGAGCATGCACAAGCGAATGATCTTTGCTTTTGAGCTGAGTGTGAGCACAAGTCCAGCTGAAAACTTTCCACTAGCTTGTCTAGTGAGAGTGTACTTCAACTCAGGGTTGATACACCATTATTTTCCATGTCCTGCATGAATGCACATCCAGTAACATTCAACGTGCTCCTACCGCTCGTAACTGGTTTGTCAATAACAACCAAAGGCTGCAGTGGTTTTCTCCATCCAAACGTGGCATAAATCTCGCATACCATCAGCCCTGATTGAGACAACTTAGTGCTTTCATGGGTACCCATTTCTAAGCCACCTTCATATAGACATATGACATATAGACATATGGGTGCATGTGTTCTGTGCCTGAAATGTCGTCATCAAGCTGTATAACTCAGTAGGGTTTTAGGAATGTTCACAGATGCCATGAACAGGGATAGTAATGATGTGCTGCCTTGAGCACCAGCAAAGGATATGTCTGCTGTGTAAATGCCCCTTAATGCTATTCCACTGCCGAGATTCATTGAAGTTGAATTCCATGCCATACAAGTAACCTGTATATGCCAAAAAACAACTATGGTCATGACTCCAAAAAGTCTGCTTCATTGCCATTTTCCAAGTTGCCTCCTCCATTCTAGGCTGTGCTGCTCCTCTATTCCCACACCATCATTTAGCATCACTTCAGCCCTTAAGAAACAGTCAAATAGAAAGAGTATCGTATTGAGACACTATCAGTAGAATAGATAATGTCTGTAGAGCTGTCAAGGAGTAAAGTTACTTTGAATCGCTCCCATCTCTGGTGTTCAAGTAAAAATGGCCTCATGTTACTGTTTTATTCTTTGTTGCTCCCCATTGCCCGTTGCTGATTTGAATCATGCAAAGTTTACATTTGCAGGTCCTCATATCATCAAGGCCTTCATGTACATTTTGAGTCCATGCAGTCATTGCACAGTCTGGCACTCCCATGCAGATACTTCATAAGGTATCAGTGGTTATTTGTCGCAAGCTGTACATCACCGCTCGAATCTTTTTGAAAGTGCAACAGTTTCTGTTCGTAATGCCTGCATCTCACATTTTCTATTCTTCTCTGGTTCACATTCTTAAATCGCCTTTGCAAAATCCAGACACAAGTCATCAAACCGTGCCAATCATAAGTCATACAGTTACAGATCAGGTCACAGGCTGGTGAACAATAGCAAAGACACAAAGATGGATCCGGGGGAGGGGTGGCAGGAAGTCATTGCACCTTCACTTCCTTTTCATTTCTTTTTAAAACAAAGGTCCCTTTGTTTTAATTGTTCCCAAAGCACATAAATAGCACCAAAATATAGCCTCGACCCTAAGAAAGGCTATAAAATCTTCAGTCTCCCCAAAATACACCCCCCATAAAAAATGGTTCTGAATCCGCCTTGGAAAGACATTTGTTTTTCAGTATTTGTTCCCCATTACTTGTGACCAGACCTGTAAGCTGACTTGTAATGGACATTTACTGTAAACTTGCAAGTTGACCAAACTTCTAGTTAGACCCTCACATCTCTCACTTTGTAGTTGATCAAAGAGTATTTACCGTTCAGAGCTTCATTTGAACATACCACCCCCATCCCTCCAATAATTTGATTACTGCTCTATAGCTGCTGCTGAACTGTCTAGTCATGTCATCAGTCAGCCAATGTGTCATTGTCTGTGTTTATGGTGCACTTGGCAGAATGCCAGATACATGAAACCCATCCACACCATTGAGCAGTTTACCCAGTACCTGTATCTGTTACGCATTGACTAACAAACAGGGCCCAATTTCACGTAGCAGCTGCTTAACAATTAGCTTAAAAGTTAGCAGACAAATGTGCTAATCTTAAGCATTATTTCATGGCCTTGCTTGAAATAAATGGTTGTGCTTAGGGTCGTGCATGTATAGAGATTTCCATTGTTTTGTCACTACGTAGACAAATATTTCCTCCAAAGTAAGCATGTTTTTTACCGTGCTTACTGCTCACTGTCTCCATGAAATACACAGAACCTCTGTTAAAATCCTGTGCTTAGCAGTGCCGTGAAATTGGGCCCTGGTTGGTTGAGTTTAGAGGACTTAGGCTTGCATTTGGCCTATTTATTTCATTCAGTTGAAAGTAGAATCTACTTAGACTGATGCTGTGAGATGCTTTTGAAAATGTCTATCCCAGTTCGACAGCCTTTCTATTTCAAAGTCACGAGTTTTGACCTGTGAGTAGATCTGTTCCCAGAGGTACAATCATGTTGACGGTGAGTTCTGCTCTTTACAGTATCAGTGGCTAACGTACGCATGCCAGATGCGGCAACCAATGAGCCGCGTCCCCGAAACCTGACAGGCCGTGAGGTCCAGGGCATCAACCTCATCTGCAGGCAGTTCATGGCGCTCATGATCAAACGATTCCACCACTTCCGGCGCAGCAAGAAAGGGTTCTTTGCTCAGGTGAGCTGTGGCGTTCGTTGTCTCAATCACACGTTCCTTCAGTGGAGAAGTAACTCTCAATATCATCCCACCTTTTAATAGTAAACTCAAGCAGAGGAACTTACAAGGCCGGTTTTGATGGCACAGGGTCTGTATATTAGATCGGAGAGGGCTCATTTACTCAGCGAGCAGTAAAGGATAATCTGCACGATTAAAAAATCAAATGCCTTATTTCCTGGGGGGCTGTTTGAGTGAAACTTTGTGGTTAGAAACTTGAGCAATATTTCAAATATATAGCACTTTGTGTTCTGGCCAATTGGCAGTCTGGGTAGTTATGACATTGGCTGTCATCACCAAGTCTTGGAATTGAAAAAAAAAAGCAACAATGCAATAAGGAACGTGGCTACAAAATATTGAACAAATCACCATGGAGGGTTAGCATTTTTAAAAGGACTGCAGTTGCGGCATCTTGTCGTAAAAAAAAAAGTCGGTAGTTTTGGCTGACATCGGGCCTGGGATAAGTTGGTTGTGTAACAATGCCGTCGGCCAGAGCTGTATATAGAGTTGCGCCAACTCCAAACTTTGGAATAAAGTTGGCTGTTCATTATGTGTACAGGAAAGCATGCAGCTATTTCCATGTGCTCCATTGCATAATCCACCATTTTGGTTCAGGCAGTTAAGACACTCATGTCGCAACTCTCTGTATAAACAGCTCTGCCATCGGCAAGTTGTTAATGTGGTCTGATTTCTGCAGGTCATTCTTCCAGTCGTCTTTGTGTGTCTGGCCATGGTCTTCACCATCATCCAACCAGTCACAACCGAAGCACAGAGGCTTCCCCTGGTACCCTGGCTGACTGGTACCCCAAACTACATCTTCTACAGCAACGATGATCCTGGCAGCGATCTGGCTGTAGGAATGGAAATGACGATAGCCGAGGATGACCCGGGCATTGGCACCAGGTGTATGGCGGACAATCCATTCGTGGAGATGTAAGCAACTTCATTTTATAACTATTTTAAACAGAGTTCAGCCAACTTGAGGCCTTCAAGAGGCCCCTCATTATGGTGGCCTGCAAGCTACAGGAAAAGAACTAGAATGAAAAGACAGAGGAAGGAAAAAGGAAGGCATGTCATGTTCGGTGTAAAAGAGGCTTGTTCACATCAGGCTTGAACTAGGATATGATGTAGACACGGGGAGAACAGGTTGAAGAAAGAGAATTCCTGAGCAGGGTGCCATGTGCAGAAGAGCAGGCTGAGTGATGGAACGTTTGCATCATGTTATTTCTACTATTTTGTTTTGCCTTTTGTTGATTGGTACTGTTTTGTCATCTGTGTTAATGTTACTGACAGTGCAGCGCTCATTACATTATAAAGCGTGCAGGTAATGAAATTTTGTTAGACGCTCTTATTGAGACTTCAAAACTCGTTTTCATTTTCCAAACATACTTTAGTATCCATTTGTGGTTAAAACTGTTTTGAAAAGTAAATGTCATGATTATAAAGATGAACAAAGAAATTGACTGGAGCGGGATTCGAACCCACGACCTCCAGAATACTGAACCGGTGCTCTACCAACTGATGAGCTATCCAGCCCTAAGCTGGTGGCTCTTCCCATTTGTCAATATCTTTGTTCGGGGGTGCTAGTTAGAAGCCATGTAACTTGAAATACTATATAGCCAGGGATCACGCCCAAATTCTACGATTTCTCCTGGGAAGTGGTGAAGAGTCAGTTTCACCATTAGTTTTGTTTCATGATTTATCTTTAAACATTTGAAATTCTCCTTGCACATGTCATGTCAGTAAGGAAGACTGCTGATTTTACAGATTGTCTGTTCAACTTTTCAAATCTGCTCATACAGAACAGTTTTGAGAAAGATTTGTTCACTGGTTTAATGTGCGCATAAACAATAATAACCGAAGAAAAGGACATTAGGAACAGTTAAAAAAAATCCAAAATGTCAATAGTTTTTGTGCTCAAATAAATGCAACATGGGGGGTTTTCTCCCTGAAATGGCATCACATTTTTGCTCATGGAAGAAAGTACCCCCTTGCATGGAATCTTTATATTCCAAAGGCAAAACATTGTTAAAAGTCTGCTGTTTAAGTCTGCAAGTTCAGGACTGTTTGTGCACCAGAGATGGAGAACCACCCAGTTGTACGACACAGTTTTCTACAGATGCTGACTTTAGCAACTAAACATGCTGTACTTTTGTTGTGTCACTTAAAAGTATGACAGAAAATCCCTAGAAAATGTTTTATTTTGTGGCAAGATGTTTGCTTATCATGCTGTTTAGCACTAGAAAATGACCTCAAACCATGGTAACAACTTTTAGAAAAACAAATGATACAATTTCTGTGGAAAAAATTGTGAATTTTGCTGGATCATGTGATAGCATGGTTTTTTCATTTTGGGTTGTTCAAGTCTTCTGTTAAACCAAAAGGTGTTAAAACAAAAGGTGTAAAGTTTCATGTTTAGAAGCATTGCCAATTAATCTTTTCTTTTCTTTGGTTAATTGAAGGAGATACCTCTGTGAACCAGACAAAGCCACTCGCTGGAACAGTGAGGAAATGGACCCTAATACCTACATCAAATACTTGAAGGGTGAACTTAAATGTGAATGCAGCGGCAAAGGCTTTGAGGTATGCGATCCCGGGGCGGAGGGCCCACCCCCTCCCGAGAGGGTGGTCCCAACAACAGACTTTCTCCAGAATCATACTAGCATGGAAATCAGTTGGTATCTGAAGACGACCACGCAGGAGTACGTCTGGAAAAGGTAACAGCTTTGTACCTCTTTTTTCTTTCAGTCCAAAAATCCTTTCAAGTTCATTTTTCACACTGCCTGTGCACTGGAAGAAGTAAAGTTTCTGCCCGTACATAGTTTGGATTAAAAAAAAAGAGTAACCCCCCCACTCTGGCATAGAACATTGTTACTCAAAATCTTTTTCCACGACAACTTAAAATAAGATTTAAAGTTTTGAAATCTCTTTTTTTATTGTCTTTCTGTAGAATAGTTGTTCGGTAGGATTTAGGAGAAAAATATAGTAGTCTTAACTCCTTCAAATGCAAGCTGAAAACTTTCTTTTTAGATCAGCATTTGTAAATGTAGAAGTGTGTTCTGATCTTCCTTTTTAAATGTATTTTAGGGTCACTATAAGGTCACTATAGGGTTGGAGGCGTCCGTCCTGGAAAAGATCAAGACATTACTGGTGTCGATGGGGTTTAGGCCTTGAATGAAATGTTATCAATTTCGACATGTGAACCATGAATAGCTTCCTTCATTTTGATCTTACACACAGATTTGGGGGTGTGAGTTTCCTTGAGAAAGATGAAATGGCTCCGCTTACGTTGAATATCAGTGAGGACATTTTGACCGACTGGAGTGGAGAGTGGGAGAACCCCTTTGACCGAGACAGACGATTCGCAGCCCCACAAGCCACGGATGACATACCGGACGTGAGTTGTGTGATGGGATGGAGGGGGTTGGTGAGGAAGGGATGGGTGTGATTTCTGAGCGTACTACCCAATCCCCATGCCAAGGTATAGCTTCCAAATTGGTTTAGAAGTTGATGCAGTACTGAAAGATATCAAGATAAAAAAAAACCTGGATACACGACCAACCTGGGAAGTTCCAACATCTGCACATTGTGGAAATCCCCACCTCCACCTGCCCGATGTTGGTTGTAGCCCTGTTAGCCCCGTCAGGCTGGGGGAAAAAGTTTTAATCAAACTTCTCTTGTCATCATAAAATGGTCAGTCTTTTAATTTAACATGTCCAAGCATCAAAAAATGGTCAGTCTTTTAATTTAACATGTCCAAGCATCAACTCTTCAGCATCTCTTAGACTTGTCCTTAACCATTGAGATGCAGTTCTTAAGGAATTTATTCTTGTTATCATTGTCTATGCCTGGTTGTTAATCAAACAAAAGATTGGAAAGCATATGGTGGCTTTGTGGCTCACAAGCCTGAAGAGACTGGTAGAGAGAAGACTGTGACAGAGGTGGGAGGAAAACCCCAGATGACTATTCCTGGGAAAATGCACAGAATCAGGTAGGAAGTGAAAACTCAGTCCACACGTGGGCCCATCCGGGACTCGAACCCAGACCGAAGAGGTAGAAGGGAAGAGCCACCATGCCGATCCGACTCTGATGTTTTCTAATATTTGTATGTGCTCTGTTTGGCCAGGATCAGGACATACTTCCGTCAGACGGCACCCTGAAGGAACTCTATGCTGTCCTGCTATCATTGGCACGCTTCAAGAATGTCAAGGTAACAGTAGACCATTGTCATTTGGCCCACAACTGTAATGGGTAGCCACAGTTTGCAGAAATATCACCTTTTGGTTGGTTTTTGATTTTACCTCAAATTCGTTCTAGTGGACATTTGTCCTTTTAATTTGAAATGGGTTTGTATTGTCATTAAGTATTTAGTAGCACATGCATTATTCTCTGGTGTTATGAAAGCTGTCATTTAACACAGCTGGAGTTTTAACACAATGTGAATTCTTCTCTTATTTTTTAGCGATGGCCAACTACGGTTTTAGGAGCCACTTGTAGGGAAAACATGGCTGTGACAATGAAGAGCAGGCCCTATTAACGAAGTTTGTTCCCTCTGTCCTTGTTTGAAATTGACTGTTCTCATGTTGCCTTCTATCCATATGGGTGGCAAACTGAAAATTGGGAGAAATATCACTCGTGGTTATGCGTCAGTTTGCCACATCACTTTTAAAGAGGGTCATATTCGCACTTAGTACTTGTTTAGTTTAGCCATTCCTATTGATTGACAGCCTGTCACAAAGGCCGGTCTTAAACGGTTGAGAAAACACCGTCTGGCTCTGTACCACCTCATGCTGTGCACATCACGCGCATGCCAATCTCCATATAAGGAGATTGTGTCCTGCTACTTATGAGAGGAAAATACCATAACATGGCTAGAGGGGTATTTTAATAAAAATGAAGTAAATTTTTTGAACAGAATCATAGGGAAATGTGTAGTTTTAAACTTGTGTTGGTTTTCTGAATTGAAAGGTATTTGTGCATAGGAACAAGTATGTGGCCAGTGAATGGACGCTGATAACTAGTTGCTCACCCATTCTCCTAGGCCAGTCTTAAATAAGGGAATAAATATGTGCTTGGCCAGTCTTAACGTGCATTTAAGACCAGCCCAGAATGGATGCGACTAATGCCCGAGCCGCATTATCAACGTTCAGTCTCCTGAGCCAGTCTTAAAAGTTAATTTAAGACCAGCCAAGCACATATTTATTCCTATTCATAAATACCTTGTAGTCAGAGAGTCAAAAGAAGCCAATATGATGGATTTCCAGCAATTTTGTTTTAGAATTTTACTTCCATTTTCCAGAACACCCTGTCCAGTTTATGGAATGTACCTTGTGCAAATTGCCCAATTGGTGTGCACGTGGCGAGCTGTGAGCACACAGATTCTTGACCAATCAGAATCGATTAAACTGTCTCGTATCCAGGTGCCAGTGCGCAGTGGGCATTATCACTTATCAGCAGGCATTATCAAATATTAATACATGGTCAAGTTGCACTTGGTTGAACAGGGAGACTGTCTGAGATATTTATGAACGAATGTTTAATACTAATGTTTAAAAGGAATATTTATTCCCTCTGTGGCTTATTATTAAGCTTTTCTACTGACCGCCCATCGGCGGCATCATTTTTCCAGCCGCTTATGGGTAAAAATTTGACTCAAATGGAAAATCAATAGACCCCATAGGAGTGTGTGCAACTGGAGCGGATTCTAAGCCTTGATAGCCCATGAGTTGATGTCAGCTTTCACCAAATCACCAATCTTTATAGATGTAATGTGCTGGGAACCTTGTCTTTCACTCTACCATGTTTGTCACAGCCACTGGCAGCACATTTTCCCAGATGTGGCATTTTTAAAAAATTTTTCTACATGGAAACATCAGACTAAAGAACACTGCTCAAGCTGAAACCTTCTATTGATTATTATGAGTTTGATCTTTAAAGAAAATTCAAATTGTAAACCTAATCCCAAACCTGTTTTAACGCCTGTCAATGATGGATCTCCAGGTGATCACCTTCAGCATTATCATTGCATGGCCCATATCCAGTGTAACTTACCAGTTAAGCAACTACAGTAACTGCTCTGTCACACTTTTTTTCACTCAATAGTAATAAAATTTCTTTTAAAAATGAGGCTTTCAATCATTCACAGGTCTGGTGGGACAACACAGGTTTCCATGCCCTCCCAGCCTTCATCAATGTGGCTAACAACATGCTGTTTCGTGGCAACTTTGAGGAATCCCTGCGAGAGAAGTATGGAATCACAGCATACAACCACCCCATCAATATGACCCAGGACCAAATTGAGGAGCAAGTCTTGTAAGTTGGCAAATGAAGCCGTGATATGTACCCAACCCCTGTATCAGTTTCAGCTGGTGCAGTAAATCCATCAGAGTTTTCATTGAAGACTGAATTTGAATGAAAATCTAGATAAATATCCTCGTGTGGATTCAGATATTTTACCTTTAAAATAATATCCTGATTGGAACATTTCGTTGCTGTTTTTACAAAGTAACTAAAACCTCAAAATCTTGCCAAACGGACAATCTGACATAAATGCATTTGAAATAGCAGTCTTTTCATTACACATTTTCAAACACTTTTTCAATCAATTTGGCGGAGTGGTTAGTTTGTAGTTCCTTATCGTAGGGTTGGGGGTTCAAATCCTAATAGGTGGTTATACATTGCCCCCTTGGGCAACTCACTTTATCCCTACATGCCTCTCTCCACCTAGGAGTAAATGGATACCTTTTTTTAAGGCAGATTTAGCCCAACCAGAATTTCGATGATCTCTTATCAGCTACTGTTACCGCCCTCAGGTGATTTTGTTACAAGCTAAGTGCAAAACTGAAGTCAGGGCTCGGCCCTAGCTCGACTGGGTGGCAAGTGGGCTTTGCCTATAGTTTTCTCAACACACATCCAGTTTCATAAATGCTCAAAACTAGTGTAGTATTGACCAGTTATGAAACCACATTTTCTCCTTTTGATATTTGAAATTGGTGCTGAAATGCCAGAGTTACTTTAAATCTTTGAGTTGTGGAGTCGTTTGTGTGGACCACAACTTACTCATCAGCACGCATGAGTGAAAGCTGCCTTGCAAGTGCATGAATAACACTATGCCATAGAAGGTGTTTCACTCAATATATCATAAAATGAAACTAAAGTATACAGAAAATTGATGCTTAATTGTCTGTGTTCACATTCTGACTTTAATCATTCACAAATCCTCAATGAATCTAGCGGATAGGTTATTGATCACTAAGTTAAAGTCAAACTATATTTTCTCGCAGACGTAGATGGCACTGACGTTGCCAAATACATTGGGTACATGTATGAAGGATCAAAGTACAGAAACTTTGTTGTCAGAATTCTGCCCCCTTATTGGGAGGGCGGATCAAAGTATGCCCAGAACTTTGTTGTCAGAATTCTGCCCCCTTATTGGGAGGGCGGATCAAAGTATGCACAGAACTTTGTTGTCAGAATTCTGCCCCCTTATTGGGAGGGCGGATCAAAGTATGCACAGAACTTTGTTGTCAGAATTCTGCCGCCTTATTGTTGTTAACATGCGTGGCAGTTCTGGAAAAGTAGATCCGGCAGAAGGTCGGACTGTCCACCCACAGTGTGTTGATGGATGGCATAATTGATAGTAGATAAGGACGCCTTCCCTGTGGTATAGATAAACATTGAAATCCTGGGTGCAGAGAGGGCCAGATTTTTAAAACAGAAATTCGCTTCATGTGAGCTTGAACACCACACATGTACATGACCTGCTGTAGAAACTACCACTTTAATTGTATTGGATAACACTAAGCTAGTGCAGGAACTTTTGTTCTAATGTTGTCCAAATGACCTTCATAAGCCAATATTCTTTGTGGCTGTATACCAGACATTGGCTGCCAAGCTTCCTGCCTTTTCTAGAAGTCAACAGTTTCTGTCTGGATAAATAATTCTTATTTGTGATTAATTGTCACCGTCATCACAACATGACCTTTGTCATCATACAGTCTTCTCTATTACTTTTGTCTCTTTCATAACTATAGTTACCTGTATGAGTTTATTCTCCTCCATCACCCTCTTCCGTCACCATATGTCACTTTCAGCCACATCGTCTCCTCCATCACCATGGTCATCTCCATCGCTGTAGGTATTGCCACCTGGATTGCCATAATCACCCGCAATACCATGATCAAAGTTCATCACCACAGTCACTCACCTGTATCAGGGTCAAATTTAATCACAGTAAGCATCATTGTATGGTCATCATCCATCAATTTAGTCTTATCAGTCGTCACCATAATTACCATCATTATTTTTGGTACTTTAATGATCACCAGTAGCTACATGACCATGTGCTATCCTGCATCCTTTTCTTCATTTGTCTCTGTAACTAGGTAACACGGTTACCACTATTGCCATTGTCACCGGCTCTTAATTATCACCAAAAATCGACATTGATCTCGATCCACATAAAGGGATCCTGCTCTCTTGTCCTTGCCAGGAAGCAAACGCCTATCATCATGGGGACAGCTATATTTATCGTGTTTGCATTGGCCTTCGTGCCAGCCAGCTTTGTTGTCTTCCTGATCGCAGAACGTGAGTCCAAGGCCAAGCACCTGCAGATAGTCAGCGGTATAAGTCCGACCATCTACTGGGTGTCAACATTGGTCTGGGACTTGGTGAGTAACTTTCACCTGCCTGATTGTGTGACATACGTCAGATGCCCTCATAAAGATGATGGTCTAATTCTTATTGTTTACCTCTGTTTGGAATAATAATGTTTTTTTTTGCCCAGAACAGTCACGTAATACAGCTACAAAATGTATGTCACACTCACCATTAGACATCGATCACATCAGCTGGCTGTGTATGTCATGTACATGCAGGCATGCATCCTCTCTCCCCTTCTCCCCTGCAGTGCACTCGATAATGTTGGCAGCAGAAGAATTTCTGAGTGGGGGAGGGGCCAGTTGTGAGACCATCAAGGATGAGCCATTAATTGGTCGATTCATAAAGCCACACCCCATTATAGGACCTGCAAAAAGTATGCCCCCAGTCAAAAAAGTGGGGTGCCACTGCTGAGCCCCCTGGCCTCCCCCTCCACTTCTAGTCTGCCCCCACTGGGGACTATTAACTACTAATATTCAAACATTCCTTTGTCGCCCTTGATTTCCCTCAGAAAAACATATGAAAAAAATCAAGACAGACATGACAAAACAATAGTTGACTGCTGTGATGTGGGATATGACATTTTGAATGGTGCCCTCGGTTTCATCTTGGGTGCTATGCATCCCTCCAATGTTCAAATGTCATATGTCTGAATCACAGCAGTCAAGTATTGTCAATTGACATATGGAACTATCACAAATAGCTGGCTATTCAGATTATTGTCAAATGTCTCTGTTAGCTGCCTTATATAGATATGTGAGATAAGATGACATACTGAGCCCATTGCTCTATCTAGACCTATCTTTGCTTAGTCTGCTTAGGCAAATGATTCAAGAATGGGCCAGTTGTGCTTCTGTAATGAAACATTTGCATGCCAAGTAAGTTTGTAGTTGCAGTACAACTTGGTATCATAAAATTTCTCTTAAAGATCAGGGATCGATCCATCAGGGTGTTTGGGTATAGAAGGGGAAGAACTACCACGCTACTCGTACTTCTCATCAGATCTGTTATTTTCTGTCCTTGCTTTGACAGGTAAACTATCTTATACCAGCTGTGCTGACCATAGTGATTTTCCTGTGCTTTGATCAGCAAGCCTACATCAGCCGTCAAACTGCACCTGCTACTGTCCTCCTCCTGCTTATGTATGGGTGAGTATGGAGTCATTTCTCATTTGCCCTGAGTTTGATCAGCTCAGTTATTTATTGTTTCCCAGTGATGAGGCTCTACCTCATGCGCACACTCATTGTACATGCAGCAAGCAGTGATGCGTTTGCTTGATACCAGTGTTTTTGTTTATTGTGATGTTTAAGCTTGTCAACGTTATGAGATGATTGGTTTGTAGATGTGATGTCATTTTGCTTGGGTTATGCCAGTGATTTCCATCGGTGTACACCACTGACATTGCATCCTGCCCTTTTAAAAACCATCTGGTTTTCTTTGACCAAGAATAATTCCACCTATATGGCACCCATACGGTCAAACCAAATTCCCCCTGTTTTGCTCCTCACAGTTGGGCAGTCACACCGATGACCTATCCTATCTCCTTTATCTTCACGACGCCCAGCACGGCTTACCTGTCAGTGGCCTGTGGTACAATGCTCCTCGGCGTTCTCACCATTATGACCACGTTTATCTTAGAGTTCTTGGGTGGAGGTGATGAGGTACGTTTACCTTGAACATGTGCTTTCATGTGGTCATTTGATTAGTTGGATCAGCCTGTACATTGTAAATCTTGTGAGCAAATTGTATTGGACATAGAGTAATTCTTGCATAACCTGCGAGACTTCATTTTTCCAAGTTATGAGTGGCTAGTGTCTGTAGTGCGCAACCACATTGTCAAAAAGCAGTGTGACTTGTGATTGAGCTGTATACTTTGTGCCCAAACTTGCTCATTAGCTCTAGCACCATGTATGTGTTCACAGAGTAAACTAATCACATTAGTTCAAGGAGGGATGCAGAATCAGATTTTCAGGGGGGCCAAACTTGTCAAAAAATTGGGCCAGTTGGCCTCCCGTGATCTGCACTTGTGTGAGTGTGATACACATTCTTCAAAGTTTTTGTTGGTTTTCATATATGTGAAGCGCTCTGTGAAAATCAGTCACATGTCTCCAGAGCCACTTTTGAGTTGAAAGCCTTTGACAGAATCTTGCACAGTGTTTAAGCAATAGGAGTCCTCAAGATATTAACATCTACTCAACGTCCATTTTCATTGTACCAAACTGAGTGACACATCAAAAGAAAGAGCTCAAATTCCTCAATCTAATACAAAGTACTACTCAAAGTGGCTGCAGAGACTTGTGACTCATTTTTACCAAGCAGGTCACATTTAAGTAAAGGCAGGGCTTGCCACTACTACAGCTGAACAAATGTTTGTTACAGATTGTTTGACTTTTGTCTAGTTGATTTCTGTGCATATATGCATAAAATAAACTGATCCCTAAATTGGAAACTGTTCCTCTTTTAATTTATCATTTCTGCCCAACATTCCAGCATTGTGGCACATAAGTATAGCATAAAAAATAATGCAGCATGTTACTCAATTTTTCATTTTGCTGTGTGGCGCTGATGTTCTTTCCTCATATCAGGCTGTACAGGCCGTCAATGATGCCATAATGCAACTGTTCCTCATCTTTCCGCCGTTTTGTCTCGGCCGAGGGTTGGTGGACATGTCGCTCAACGAAATGAAGAATGAACTATATGCTGAAATTGGTGAGACAAAGACAACAGTGGCGGAATGGTTTTAAAAGGGGGGGCAAGCACCAGCTATTAGACTGAGAAGAAAATAATTATGAAGTTGCAATGTGCCTCCAACGGCTGGTAGGCCTATGGGGGGGGGAAATAACTACCTTTTAAGGGTGACGAGGCAACAACAACCCCCCATTCCACCACTGATGGACAAGGGTATAGGCAGATCATCAATCACAGCAAGCATGGTTAACAATGACCATTATTGCAGCCTTGAGCAAGTCCAGTCAGGAACTGTTGTTGCCAATACGATTTAACCATCTCAGATTGAACTCAAGCTTGTTAATTATAGCAAACCAAACCCAAGCACAGAAGTATGCAAATCTGGTTTAGCCAATATTTTAAAGCTTTGTTTTGGGTATCTTTACAAAATTCACACATTTTCTTTTCATTTTCTGCCCATGGCAAGTAAGATTCAAACATTTGATCACATGTCATCGTTGGCGCACTGCCCATAGTCAGATACCTTTTATCACATTATTCATGAGGAGCTTATAATTACAACTTTTGAGACCACGCAGGCACAGACTGACCTCAGGCTACATTTTAATTTGTTATCATCAAGTTCCTTGTTTATGCTCAAATACTATAGGAATTGAGTCCCAGCCGTACAACCCACTGGATTGGAACAATGTTGGGCGTAACATCTTTGCCATGGGCATCATTGGTACTGGCTTCTTTACCCTGACTCTACTCATCGAAAATAGGTTCTTCTTCAAGCCAAGGTCAGTGCCGTGATGGACATCAGGCCTGGCAATGAAACACAAGTCTTAGGTCTTTTTGTTCATCCAGATTTCTAGCAAGCTGTGGCGTGCCATTTGCCACCATCTTCACAAATACTTCTTTGATATGCTTTGTGAAAACCTTGCAGTGAATAATTTTGGTGTCCGAAAGGTATGTAATACAAACCTGCTGTAAACTGCTTGCTGACTACTATGACCTAAGATTAAGTTTGGTGTCACAAACTGACACGTACTTCGTGCACTGACATGCAACGTAAGGGATTTGGTTGTCATGAAAGACACATTTGTGACTATGATATTATTAGAAATGCTTTAAAAAGTTGAACAGGAATTTACATCCTCTGTGTATTTACAGAATATAGTCATTTTAAACTCAAACTTTCTATCAATTAAGTCTCAGTTCCTGAAAACAAGTGCCCTTGTACACATGCATTACTCATGTGCTAGTTTGTCAAAATGAAAATGATGAAATGAATTGTTACAGCCCTTGTCTACAATTTTAACGGACAACCCTGCTGATAACTCACCCTGTGCCTTCACCTTTCCCCCATGATAGACATATTGAATCTGAACATATCCCGCTGGCTCTTGAAGATGATGACGTGGTGCGCGAGAGGCAGAGAGTGTTGTCAGGAGGAGCTGACAATGACATCGTGCGAGTGGAAAATCTCACCAAGGTCAGTCGAGAAAGGAACCCCAAAGGCCAATAATCACCCCTTCCCCTACGATCTGAACCCTGTCCTGAATCTACGCTCCGCTCACCCAACACCCACCCTAACCCATTCGTCCAGGTTTACATTTCATACTTGGAGGCAAGTGACCGAGACGCTAGGGTTTAGTTCTCATGAGCATAGGATCGGGGGTTCAAATCTGGCTGCTTTTTGCATGTTTGGGCCTTGGGCAAGTCACTTCAAAACCTTGTGTGGACCTGCATTATGTCCTATTACCAAATATAATGAAAATGTATGTTCTTTGATACTGATTTTTTTTTCAGGATTATAACACTAGCCGAGGTGTCTTCACTGCTGTTGATAGGATGTGTGTTGGCATTCCATACGGAGAGGTAAAAATGGTGATCTGTTTCTAGTCAAGAGGATAGTTTCCAACCTAGAATTACAACATTAAAGGGGTGATTTGATAAATAGTCAATTTAGTAAGGGATTCAATATTATCCTTGGCACTTTGGAATGAACAAGTGGGAAGGGCAGGCCCAAACTCAGATGGGCAGATGGGTTAAGAGATCACACTGAATCATCTCTGCACGAGAGGAATTGACTCATATGACCCAGAACTCAGCCCTGCATCATGTTATCTTGGGCAAATAATGCGTTGTTAATTCCATAAAGTATGTAATCCATGAAGTATAAGTTGTCATAGCATGTATTCACTAGCACTGTTCTGGATGATCAAGACTTGTTTTCAATCACCAGTGCTTTGGACTTCTGGGCGTGAATGGCGCGGGCAAGACCACCACCTTCAAGATGCTGACAGGAGACACGCAGGTCACCTCAGGCTCGGCCTACGTCAAGGGATTCAGCATCCTGAAAGACATGAAGCGAGTACGTCAGAACATCGGGTACTGCCCGCAGTTCGATGCGCTGAATGAGTTGCTGACTGCCGAGGAGCATCTGGCCTTCTATGCCCGGCTCCGAGGCATTCCTGAAGCTGATATTAAGAAGGTGGGCTCTGGGGACCAGCATAGGATGTCAGATACAGCCCCTTACTAACTTTGTCACTGGACTTCTGTTCTCAAGCACCGAGTGCGGTGCCCATTGAATTACACAACAGGCAAAATGCTGTGTTCAACTTTATATCCTCGACAATCATTTTTGTGTTTGGACATGACATTACAGGCCCCAGCGAGCAAATTTAGGACTTCCAGGTAATGTAGTCACAAAGATTTCTGGATCCTCACCTCCTCTGCCTGTGTGCACGTCATACTCACACCCCTTCCCCCACAGACCCCCCTTCCCCCTCATGCACGCAAAAATTACTAAGGGAATAAGTAATGTGCTTGGTCGGTCTTAAGTGTGCATTTAAGACCAGCTCAGGAGAATGGACGTGACTGTAAATGCCTGAGCCACAAGCAAGGGCATTGTAATTAGTGTTCATTCTCCTAAGACCAACAAAGCACGCCTTACTTCCATTCATCACAAATACCGTGTTAATCAGAGGGTCAATAGAAGTCAGTGTACAATAAATTTCAAAGAATTTTGTCTAAAAATTTAACTTTCATTTTCCCAAACACCCCCGTTCATTTTATGGTATATTCCTTGTACAAGTAGTCTAGAACAATCTCCTTATCTGGATTTGGTGCGCGCATGGAGAGTTCTGCATGCCATGGCGCACACAGACTCTTGACCAACAGGAATGGATTAAACTTTCTGGTATCCAGGTGCCAGCATGTTTTACACAGCGGGCATTATCAAATACTAATACACGGTCACACAATTTTTGTGCCATGTTGAATAGGGAAACTGTTCAAGGTATTTATGAATGCAGTTTAATAACCCCTTTGTGTCTGAATTTTCCCATTAAATAAGTCTCAGATAGGTATTGCGAGGAAGTCTTGTAAAATACAATAAAAGGCTTAACATATAAATACTATGAAAAACTTAACAAACAACACAATTGCCCCACTCAACATCCAATTTAATGGTTTAATAATAAGTGGGTTTCTCCATCAAAACAGTTGTACCATAAGCAATCCAGCAGTATGCCACAGTAAACTGCTGTTAATTTGTTGACTCTATCAAAATTTAATGTCTCAGGATGTTTCAAAATAAACAAGTCAAATAATTGCAGACCTTGTAATAAAAGAGATACTGTACTCTTAGAGATTAAAGTGTCAGCGAAACTTTGGATTGAACTTTACATTCCGAATGTTTGTGCTGTGGTTGTCAAAATCATGTTCGTCTTTGCCGTACAGCTATTTATACAATACTTGCATAAATCCCACTCATCTGGGTGGCGGATCATTCAACAGTATTCATCGAGTTGTATACCCATTGAATAGAATGCCATTTCACTTGACTGAATCCTGACCCCATCCCATTTACATTTGTGATCTTAGGTGGTACAGTGGGGAATCAAGAATCTAGGCTTGTCCATGTATGCCAAGCGCATTGCTGGCACCTACAGTGGTGGGAACAAGAGGAAGTTATCAACGGCCATCGCCCTCATAGGGGATCCCGAGCTTATATTCCTGGTGAGTGGGGGAGGGTTGACATATTATGAAGTCCACTTAAAGAACTTTCTTGAGGTGCACCTTACCATTCCAATCCCACCTGATAAGGAATGGACCGCTAAGCTTCATGCCCAAGGAGGTGTAATCACAATCTGGGCATCTGTGTTTTCGCAGGCTTGGCCAATGAGCGTTAAAAATATCATACTTATCTTGACTTATATCGGGCTTATGTTTAAAAACATTAATCCCCCTGTACCCACATACAAAGCTTGAGAAGTTCGTGCAGGCAGATAGTGTGTTGAACGTGCATTTGGCCACTGTGCAGGGCTTCAGTTATTAAAATTATTAAAGAGAGTAGTGCCTGGAGAACTGGGGTTTTTTGTAGTTTGTTGTAAATGATAATTTTTCCATAAAGCAAAGTTTGTTTTAATGCATGTCACAAAGTAGTAACTACAGTTGGTTTCAATTTTGATCAACTATATAGGATGAGCCCACCGCAGGAATGGACCCCAAAGCACGTCGCTTTCTGTGGAATCGCATCACCGGCATTGTCAAGGAAGGCCGCTCGGTCATACTCACATCTCACAGGTAAACAATCGACATCTTTCGCGGTCTTGAGTTAAGCTTTTGACAGAGGGATAATAGGGTAACTTCTGGGGTGGGATTTTTGTTTAGAAATTTGTCAAATAAACAACAAAAATGATTTTTGGAACACTTGTGAAGGAAAAATATGCAGCAAATTTGGGCTAGGAGTGGTTAAGATCCAATTTGTTCTGGCTATTTGAGCTACCAATGTAAAGCCATTGTTGAGCCTGTCCAAATTGTTCACATCTGTCTTCCTGCTCTTAGGGCCTGCCCATTATTTTTTTGCAAATTTTGGGACATCAGGCAAGCAGTGCTTAATTCCCAATACCAATATTCGTCACTGAATTTCTCTGCGAATGGCTTGCGGTTTGAAGTTCACTTTGAACCACACTAGTGTGAAAGATTCCTGTTAAATTGCATTATCGTCAAAAGGGAAGACGGATCCTTTCTCCTGTATCCTGCTGCTGTTGTTAGGTATAAAAGAAAAAAAAAAGATGTGTTTTGATCCATTGCAGCTTCTGTCTCTTTTGCTACTACTTTTGCAGGGTTAATGCGGTATTTAAGCAGTTCAGACCTGAAGATTTGTAAACCCTTAATGACTTTCTGTGCTAGTTACAAGGAGAGTGCTCAAGCATTTGTGTGCCATTGCCAGCAGGCACTTTAAACATCGCTCTGTGATACATGATGATGATGATACAATAAGAAATGTTATACAAATCCTGAGCAAGTGACCACCCTGGGTCAGCAAAGTCCAACTTTGTAAAGGACTGCAATTGTGGTATCTATTCATTTGAAAGAGTCTGTATTTTCAGCAGAAAACTTTGCTGGGAGCAAGTTCGCTGTATATATTGCCTGCAACTGGTTAATGAGCACAGTTTTAAATGTGATCTGTTGCTTTCTGCCTTGATTTCAGTATGGAGGAATGTGAGGCCTTGTGTACAAGAGTTGCCATCATGGTCAACGGACGATTCAAATGCATTGGAAGCACACAGCACCTCAAATCAAAGTATGTCAGTGAGCTTTAACTAAGTATGCCAGTGACATTTTGCAAATTTGTACTTTTTACATCAATTGATGATGATAATAATATGTACAAAGGTTTTTCTACAAACTTTTTTACATAAAGGTGTTTGATGTTTGGTAGCAATTTTTAGGAAAGCAAAAAAACGAACAAATTTGATATGGTTTGGATTGCAGTGAGTTTTGATTTACACTACTTTGATTTTTTTTCATCTGACATTTTGTCTGGTGACAAGTACTTCAAAGTTGGTCAGAATTGCAAAATACATAAATCAAAGCCAATAGGTCTGTTTTTTCTTCTTCTTTTTTCAAAACTACTGAGGTTTCTATTGTGGCTGGGCAGTTTCGCTGTGTACGTTTGGAGTCCTTTGCTTTGTTTTATTAATTCTGCACAAAATTTTCCTTGATTTCCCTTAAATTGTTAAATGCAGGAAAAAAGCACAGCAGTTCTATCTTGATTTAAACCACTTTGGCATAGAAACTCAGGAAAATGTGGTTAAATTCTGCTTTTATGTGCCCCATTTATGTAGTTCTATAGGGATCCCGACCTCAACTAAACCTTTGAACTCCCTGTTTGAGATAAATGTTCGCATGAGCACAACCCATTGGGAAATAAATTATGTGTATGTAATTAGTGAAATCAACTTTAGCTAGTATTGAAATCTCATGTATAGTGCACCCAAGTGATTATCGGTCTGCCTTGTTTGCCACGCTCCTCCCCAGGTTCGGCGACGGCTACACCATATCCATCCGTGTGGGTGGGGACCCACCCAACATGGAGCCCCTGATGGTCTTTGTGGCCGAGTCCTTCCCATACAGCATACTGCGGGAGCGCCACTTCAACATGCTGGAGTACCAGATGCCCTCCACTTCGGCCTCCCTGGCCAAAGTGTTTGGGGCGTTTGATGCCAACAAGCAGCGGTTCAACATTGAGGACTACTCTGTCAGCCAGACGACATTGGATCAGGTCAGTCGTCAGCTTTTCGGATTGTTTAAATGTGAATGAAATCTGAGGCATCATGTTGGCATGTCTTAAAGCTCTTGACACCACTTTCTTTGTATGGCAAGTATGTCATTGTGTGTATTCACCCAAGTCACTGAATACAAGATCTGAATAGACCTCATGCGTATGTAGCGCCCTCATGTGACTACAGCACTTAACAATTATTAAACACCACGCGTATGATGTCTAATTATAGGCTATTTCCTTCCTCCTCTGGAATAAGCTCGAGTAAATTTCTGTGCCTTCATTGTAATGATATTAGAATAACAAAGAATAGCCTAAGGGACACCAGCAATGAAACCTCTACAGCATTGGTCCCAGATGCAGAAAGTAATGGTATTTGGCTTGATCAGTTTGCATCATCACTTAATCTTATGGCAAGGTCTGTTTATCTTAACTATTGTCTTAGATTTTCTACACGATATCAAATTGCTACAGCACATGACAGACAGCAGATTGTGCAGATTAACCAGAAGTACCCAAGAATGGCATTTAGGGGTTTGCAAAGCTTTTGTCTTTGTCATGAATGTTGAGATGGCTGTCTGCAATGCAGTCCACAGCCATTGATTCTGTCTTTGTGTCATTAGTCAAAAAGAAATCCTAGTGTAAACCAATATGAAATCTGCTGGTATTTTCCGGTCAAGCATGGAAAAATCTGACCCAATTTAACAAAGTGACTCACAGAGCATCATAATTGAAAGGCTTGTAGCTAATTGATTCATAGTTTATTGTAAATTGCATTGCAACAAAATTTACATTAAATCAAAAAATTACTATAAACAGCCGATAATAAAACTACACAATTTTATAAAACATTTAAGTTTGTTTAAAGTATGAAAATGTTCATCAAAATAGATTAAGATTCCAAAACATTCACACACATCATTTAACCATACTAACTTACAGGTCATTAAACAATATATAACATTAAATTGCCAAAAAACAATCACCAAAATACATACACAATAAAAGCCCTTGGAAAAATCAGAACCAGCAAGCCATTGTGAAAATAAAAAAACACTATACCAATCATTTAAAAGCTTAACAAAATATGGGATTACACTATTTTGGTATTTATCCTTTCTGCACTTGATTTGAGGAAAACAGTTTGAATTTCTGAGAGAATCTTGCACTTTATGTTTAACTTTCTGAGGTAGCCATTCAAAGAACACATGGGATGTGTACATGTTCATGCAGCTGAATTAAAGGCACAGTTTTTCCCTTCTAAATGTATGTTAGAGGCTGGTCAAATGACACTGTTGAAGGGCATGATCATAACACAGATAGTTAGAACCCAAGATAATTCCAAGAGCTCTTTTCTGCACTCTCCCCAACAGAGTAGTTGAGTCTGGTTGGTGTAGTGTGGGGAGTCTGGTTGGCGTGGTGTTTCTTTCCTCTGGGGGTGTGGGTTCGAATCCGGCTTGGTCCATGTGTGGATTGGGTTTTGGGTTCCTACCGGAATCCATAGGTTTCCCAAAACATTTATGCAGGGTTTTCCTCCCACCTCTAAACTGAACATTTCTTCACCGTTTTCTTTACTCATTATTATCCAGTAATTGGCACTAAATGTGCTTTTGGATGAACAGAAATAAATAAGTAACTGCTTGAGGAAACTGAAAAGGGAACCCAGAGCAAAAGAAACAAGTGTTCCTTAGAGAAAAACACTCCAAAAACAAGAAAGGTTAAATAATTACTCTGTTCCATAGTTTACATTGCTGATTCAGAATAGGAAAATCTCTCAATAAAAAACTTTCAAAACCTTTCATTTTCATTGTCTGAGAGGTAAGTAATTTTGAATGTTGGTCGCAGATGAGCACTTCTATAATTGGAACGAGTTCCAGACGTGAACGGTCATGNTTATAATATTGGCACTCTCTTAAACAGGAGACTCCTAAATAGGCAACACTTAATTAGGCGGCTTGTGGATTTGCAAATTGTTTACACCACCTACGTCTTTACTTGCACTGTTTACTGCGGAATTACATAAAAGATGACCATAAAAGAGATATGAGTGCTTATCAGGACTAATTACAATAATTGAATGAAGTGGCACTAACCTAGTGCCCAGTAATCACTCTCCAGCACAGCGTTCTGCTCTGACAGCCAAACCAAGCAGCAGTACGAACTCGTCACGCACAAATATGACCGAACAACAGAAAGACAGGAAAGACCGCAAGTAGCTCGCGCGCACTCCTTATATACCCATGCGCGGGTTATGATTATGGGATATAAATGCTTAACTGCAAATAATTAAAGAGGGCGCTCTAACCACCCCACTATTTTGCTACAATAGTTTATTGTAAACTGCATTGCAGCAAAATTTACATTAAATCAAATAATTACTATAAACAGCTGAAAATAAAACTGCACAATTTTATAAAACATTTAAGTTTGTTTAAAGTATGAAAATGTTCATCAAAATAGATTAAGATTCTAAAACATTCACACACATCATTTAACCATACTAACTTACAGGTCATTAAACAATAGTTTAACATTAAATTGCTAAAAAACAATTATAAAAATATACACACAATAAAAGCCCTTGGAAAAATCAGAACCAGCAAGCCATTGTGAAAATAAAAAAACACTATACCAATCATTTAAAAGCTTAACAAAATATGGGATTACACTATTTTGGTATTTATCCTTTCTGCGCTTGATTTGAGGAAAACAGTTTGAATTTCTGAGAGAATCTTGCACTTTTAACTTTCTGAGGTAGCCATTCAAAGAACACATGGGATGTGTACATGTTCATGCAAATTGAAGGCACAGTTTTTCCCTTCTATGTTGAAGGCTGGTTAAATGACACTGTTGAAGGGCATGACCATAACACAAATAGTTAGAACCCATGATAATTCCAAGAGCTCTTTTCTGCACTCTCCCCAACATAGCAGTTTGAGAAACAGTTACACCAGCATTTCAAACAGGCACGGCATACTTTTACAAGGGGGGGACATACCTCGTGTATATTGTCAACAAATCCTTGACTGACAGTTTACATTTTTTCAGCAAGTATGCACATAAGTCAATAGGAACCCTCAACATTTTGTAGCCAATCTAGTATCCATGTCATCAGGATGCCCAAATGGCTGATCCACCAAAACAAATCTCGATTTACTCTTTCTTGTGCAAACTAAAACAGACTGGATTTCTACCAGTAGTAGAAAACATTTGCATCCCAAAACCACATTGCTGGAATTTCACTATACTCAAAACTTTTGTCATACATAGAATATGTGTAACCAATCATGAAACTTGGTAGATCTGCACAGCATTGTTACTGTTTGAGTGCTTTTGGTCTGGGAGTTAATATCAACTGGTATTCATCACTTGTTCTAGCAGAATCAATGTGTTTTTCATCCAAAACCATGAGAATGATGGGGTTTTTTGGTCATACATATATGAGAAGCACAGGAACTGTGTACTCTAGAAAATAAAACAAAGGTACCTTGAGTCTGGTTGGTGTAGTGTGGGGAGTCAGGTTGGCGTGGTGTTTCTTTCCTCTGGGGGTGTGGGTTCGAATCCGGCTTGGTCCACGTGTGGATTTGGTTTTGGGTTCCTACCGGAATCCATAGGTTTCCCAAAACATTTATGCAGGGTTTTCCTCCCACCTCTAAACTGAACATTTCTTCACTGTTTTCTTTACTCATTATTATCCAGTAATTGGCACTAAATGTGCTTTTGGATGAACAGAAGTAAATAAGTAACTGCTTGAGGAAACTGAAAGGGGAACCCAGAGCAAAGGAAACAAGTATTCCTTTAGAGAAAAACACTCCTAAACAACCTCCAAAAACAAGAAAGGTTAAATAATTACTCTGTTCCATAGTTTACATTGCTGATTCAGAATAGGAAAATTTCTCAATAAAAAACTTTCAAAACCTTTCATTTTCATTGTCTGAGAGGTAAGTAATTTTGAATGTTGGTCGGAGATGAGCACTTCAATAATTGGAACAACGAGTTCCAGACGTGAACGGTCAGGNAACTTGGGTATGTTCGGTTCGATGCGCAGCCCTAAACATTTCTATCCCATCTTCAATAGGTGTTCATTAACTTTGCCAAGGAGCAGACGGCAGGAATAGAGGACACCCAACAAGCCCAAGGCATGGAAGTGACAGTAATCAACATGCCCGATGGGCAACTTCCAGATGGGAACCAAGTCGTTGTGCCACCAGGTAAAGATCTTGCAAAAATAAGCCATTTGCAAGTTAAATTTGAATAAAATCTGGTACATTGAGATATCTGATTGCACTACATAAACAAAACCAATTGAATTCCCCAGACTAAATACACTGTTGCACATATGAAGCAAGCATTTGCATAGCGACCACATCTCTGGGATGGACTGGTTCCTTTGTGCCCTTCTTATCCACTGAAAACAGTGTATTGGTGTAAAGCATTTTTATGTACCTAAGCAAATGCTTGCCTCAAATCAAGACGTATAGCAACAGTGTCTTTCGTCTGGAGAATTCAAAGAACTCAGTGTTCCAGATTTTATTCAAATTCAACCCGCAAAAGGATTATTACTAGCCTGTACTCCTCATTTCCACGTGAGAGGATTCAAGAGCCTACATAGAAACTGTGCATTGATCCTGTTGTAGCTGCAGCAATTGAAACCTGTTAGGAATTCACTTAGGAATGGGGACATTCCGATAAATGAAGGATGAACTCGAAGTCACATTTCGATTTCGTTTTTTTGCTCCATTCAACAAGCTCATTTTCGAGGCATTTCTATACATTTACCTATGACCAGTTGATTCTTTGGTGGTTTTATTTAGTGTCATCACAAACTGGAAAATACAGCAGTGAATTTTGAGTGCATTGTGGTGCGTTTTCAATTATTTGAAGATTTGATTGCCTTTAAAACAAATTGGAGTCTAGCAAATCATAAAAAGTATAATTTCTGCTCATTTAGGCATTTGTTTCTCATGTAGAGTTACTTGAATTTCCCATCCAATCTTGAACAGAGTTTGAAATATCTACTTTAAATATCTACTTGACTAGTGATGAAGGCCAGTGATTGTACGTGTGGTCTTAAAGCATTGATGTAGTGCAAGCGTGGCAGTCTAGTGTTTTTCTATCGTATGTGTGAGTTAATGTGAAATTGTAAAATATTGGAATTGTGCAGGCTTCATTTACATTGAGAATAGCTAGGTGCGTGCATATTACGTCCCTGTCATTTTCAAGATAGCTCATGTTTATTTAACTGGCTCATAATCATTTGACTGGCTATATGGGAAATGGCTCTTTGTGTTCTCATTTTGTTTATCAGGCATGGGAACTGTGCAGTTTCTACCTGAGAACAGCACCATCGGTGGGTTTGCCTTTGCAGCAGCAAACATCTTCGGGGGAGTGATTCACCACGATGAGCAGCCAGGTCACAGCCCGGCGGTGCCCCAGTCCCATTCACCCGCTGCCTACCCCGGTGGGGGTCTCCCCAGTGCTCTGACCAGGCAGGACAGCCAGGGCTTCACCAACCCATTATACTTGGCCTCTCCAAAGGAAGCACTTAACTGTGGCACCAACAGCCCATCTGCAGGGGGCAAAACACACTGGGGCGCCCCGCGACCTGCTCCAGACAATGAGGGCAAGAGCGACGAGGAGGCATTGGACGATTGCCTGGTCCCCAAGGGGCCCCTAGTAGGACAGATCAATGATACCATCTTCAAAATGGCAAACTTTGAGCAGGCCCTCCAAGGAGACACAAGAATCGAGTCATCTGCAGATCTTCTAGTCTCCGAAGAGTATGAGGAGACGCATCTTTGAAGGACCTTGGATGTCACGGATACTTCTGCATCCAAATAGAGCTCATCACCTGTGGCTCCCTACACTCAAATCATGCAGGCAATTTGGATGTTGTTTTCCCAACCGTATTTTCTCTTTTGCTTGTCACTCACAAGGGATGAATGTACCTCACATGCAGCTCGGTAAATCTAGTAGTACAGGTTTTGCAAAAATCCCTAGTTCCTAGAGAAAACCGGCAGCTGTATTTTGAAAGCTGGCTAAATTTCGTGTGTAGCTGCATGTTTTATCAAGTTAACAATCTTGGTTGAGGATGGCGTATACAGTTGTTTCTTTTCCAGCCAGTCTTGTTTAAATAATGTTTTACTTTAATAAAAGGACAGCCTTAAAAGAACTGAAATGCTTGAAATGAAATATGCAGTTTTTGTAAGTTTGAATTTATGAGAAATAATAGAGATTTTGGCCTCTGTTCTGTTTTGGAATGCCAGAAGTACAAATTGTAATTACTTATATTCCATTTAGTTTTCAAATGTTCATTGTTAGAGTGATCACATTCATGCTGCATGTTTTATTAACATAGTAACTATGAGTGTGTTTTTCAGTATTTTATGAGTTTTTGCAACATCATTACTTGCATCGTTTTCAATGGCAAACGGTTTCCTGTTTTAGATCTTTTTGGGCACATGCATATATTCGTAATTTTTAATTTTTTTTTTCACTAGGGGTTAAAGATTTTTCACATATGGGCTTTCAGCCGTTAGGGTTCTCTTTAAACCTAATGACCAAAGATATTGAAACTCAAAATCATTTGTATATACCTATATCATTTCGTAGAACTCATCAAAGGTAGTAAACATGGGTGAAAGCTTTAATTGAATTATTCAGATTTTTTTCTCTCTTTTAAATTGTTGATGGTATATAACTTTTGGCAACTATGTATTTCATACAGGAGATTAAATTGGCCTCCAAATGGAAATCACTGTAACAATTAACACTTGCAGTTAGTGTTCAGATATGGGACAAAGTTGGGTATTGGCTGGCTCCAGAAGCACTGGTCCATGCCCCACCCAGAAAACAATTAGCCTGACTCCTCGGAGGAGCCATTCATTAAAAAACATTACCCAAAGAACTTTAACCCCCCTTCCCCGAAAATGTGGTTCTGGATATGCACTTGAAGTAGGGTAAATTAGTAAAATAGTGTATCAAAAGCAAGTCTGTTCCCAGTCATTTAGCTTATCAGGATGGTGTTGATCTCTGGTTTCCTTGCCATGAAACGACTGAGAATGTTTCCATTTTCCCCGGATGGTACACCAGTTCATCAGGGGTTGCTTTCTAGCTAATGCCAGTACCTATTTAGCAGCAGGCAGTGGTGAGGTTATTTGCCCAAGGTCACAACATACTCCTAGCAGTTGGATTCGAGCCCCTGACCCCGTGATTGGAAGCTACAAACCCTTACCACTAGGGCACATGCCCCCAAAATAAAAGTATGTATTGTTTTTCAGACCCGTAAGAAGGACTCTTGGTGAGGGGTGCAAATCCTCAACAAAGCAGACCAAGAAAAGATCTGTTGCTTTTTCATTTTGAAAAACAGCAGGATTCATGAGGTTGTACTAATTGTTTCAGGGAGGTTACAAGTAAACTCCCAAAGAGTGGATTGACTGAGGTGAAAAATAACGAAGTGCGCGGCATTTTTAGCGCAAAATGTTCTACTAGGCGTACAGCTCAAAATCTTTTCTTGCCTCAAAAGCGGACCTTTTAGTCGCGTTGGGGGGGTAACCGTTGCCCCTCGTTAAGAGCCTGTTTTTAGTTAAAATAGCTTTGAGATTTTTCATTGGTAACAACAAGCATATTGCCAATACGCCTAACCCTAACCACAGATGACGCCATTGTATTGTGAAGAATATTTGGTGAAACCTTCCATTATATAATAAAGTGTCATCCTGGACCAGACGGAACCGAGGAATAAAGTGTTCATTTGTTTCCTTCAATAACGATGCACAATGGAAAAATCAGAATCTGGGAAGTATTGTGAGAAGATCGACGTCGTCGCCCCGTAGGCCCGGGTTCGTGAAATGCTTCGAGGACGGCACCATCGAAACAAGTCCGGGACCAGTCATTCTTCGAGCAATCCTATCAATCCTTGTACCCAGCGAAATTTTCTTTAACATGTTTTTTTCGAACTAGGCTAGTTCGACGACCATTTCACTAGCCAATGACAAAAAAAGAATATTGGCATCCTTTTGTCACCTGCGTCGTGACACCTAACGAATTGTCACGGTAAGCTTCGTTTTATGAGATTCTACCCATACACGTGACCAGAGAGCCGTCAGAGGTGAAGCTGTAAGCTCATCATGAGGGAAAGAGAGTCATAAACTAGGCCTAAGTGGTCACCGAATATCTCAAAGCTCAGAAACTAACAAATTCATCAACCGTTTCCATTAGTTAGCAAGGACTGGTAAGTTTTGGAATTCAATGTGGTCAACAATAAATTTTCGAACGAAATCATATGATGTTACCAAAAATGCTATTAAATTCACGGTACATCAGTTACTGGATTGTATGAACCCTTTGTCAATTTCATGATTCGCCGTTGGTTTGCCACCACCGAATTACCAATATCACATGGCACTCGTGTCAGGGGCAACTGCAATAGTAGATCTATGAACTTCATTTGAACACGTCCTTTTCAGCTAAGAATACTATCAATACATTATGTTAATTGTGGTATTTACAGAAGGCATGGCCCCAAACAATTCGCAGTGGTTTTTCGAAAAATTCTAGGAGTGCAGAAACCTTGCAACTTGGTCTGGATAAGGCTCTGTCATGATGGCTGATTGAAGGAAACTGGAATGAAACCCTTTGGGTCTTCTGTTCTCTCCCTCTCTTTACCTTTTTTTGTGTCTCTTGCTCTTATTTCAGAGCCACCATGAAGACCTGGCTACATCTGCCTGCTCCTTCTGATACTTGGCGTGTGCCTGGGGAACCGGTTTTGAAGAAGATGGAAGTAAGTATAAAGGCAGGCTTTCTTGGTTTATACACCGAAGGAGGACGTCATTTTGATGTTATTTGTATTTTGAATAAAAAAATTACTGCAATTAACGTCTGGGTACCGAAGTTTTGACGTCATCTGATAAAGCATGAAATCATTTGCGGGAGCAGTTCAACAGATTGCACAGGTCTTTGAAGTGATGTTCGGATGATGTCTACATCGGAAATTTCAGATGATTCCAGTAGGCCTATCGTGAGTAGATGCCCAATAGTGGTTTTGTTCGATGTTTTTCTAAAATAAAGCTGATGTTCTTTTATCGTGTTCTTTTATCGGAGCTAAGAAAACATTTGCATTGTCGTCATATCCGTTTTGCACCTTCAAAAAACCTCTACAGACGCCCTGAATTACATTGTACATGTGATTTTCAGTTTCATGTCATCAGTTGTTTATAGCCTCATGCACCTTCGTGCTTTCCCAAATGCGTTTCGAAACATTCGGGAAAGAGTTGTTGGCGCTCTTTAGGATATACTGTACAAAGTAGGCCAACGTCAAATCAAATTTATTCCTAGGCCTACCTTTTAAAATCTTCATTACATGACAGGGATGTGTTTGGAATTTATCACAATCTCACCTCCCGAGCATTGTGCATATTGAACTTCAATTATGATTGTGCTAGAGGGACAAATTGAGATGCTCTACGTTAGACAGAATTATGCGAAAACGTCTTTGACGAACAAGTCTGCCACGGTATCTGTCCAAGTCCCGTTTCCATGGTGTCGAACAATGCGCCAAATAAAGTAACCCCAGGAGATGTGGTAGCGTTCGCCCACGTGTTATATTTGAGAAGGAATTGGTGCGTTTTCTGAAATTACGGTCCCGCTATATTGTCGGTCTATAAGTATAAATTTCTTAAAATGTACACACACATAGCTCAAAACGAATCCGCCTTGGAGCCGGCTGTCAACCATGGACAGAGTTCAGTCGACCTCGAACATGGTTTCCCGTTGTAACAGCTCAAGGCAGTTTTGCACAAGTTCCCAGTCTCCGTTGGTAAGCTCTCATCCGGCCTAGGTTAATGGTAAATTACGAGAGTTGACAAGAACTTGATCGCTCGGGAGAACTTGAGCGCTCACCCCGATTTTTTCAGCATTTTATGAGTTATGAGCGTTGAAACAAATGCAAGCCTACAGTTTTTATTAGACAACAAAGAAGGGGCGGGGGACATGTCCCCGTCCCCCACTGCCTAAAGTTTACATCTGCTATATGACGAAATGTTTTTGTCCGCCTTAAGCGAGCAAACGCACCCCCCCCCCATCGCTTGAAAAGAGCCATATTAGTAGGGAGTATTCATTTTGCTGGAAGCAACACGGCCGTAACGCGTGCATGTCGTAGTCGTTTGTGAACCAGCGAAGTGCAGTTCCGACCAAAGGACTCGAGCCCCCGTTGCTCTCTTGGTCCAGCTCGGACCTCATACTTCTCGATGAGCAAGATGATCAGACTGTCCCCGTAGATCACGGATTTAAACATTCCAAAAAAGTCTGTACATATCTCGTGTCCCCTTTTAAAACCAATTTACGTCCAACAAATTCAGTATAAAATACCAACATACGCTCGTTAGTTTAAGCGTTATCATTAAAATAAATTCCGATAGAAATGCTACATTTTGTAAAATGTAACTGCTTATACTTGATCAGCCAGGAATCATAATCAAAATCACAATCAATCCACATAGCAAATTTAAAGCACATCTCCACTTTGTTCCTATGCCATTCTTGCGTTTTATTGCACCTGCCCTCCTATCGTGTCAGGAATGGCAAGGGCTGGATCACTGTAACCAGTTGTCAGGGCCAACTATCTAGCACCCTTTTTTTCAGGGTGGTTTTAAAGTCAATCCTTCTTCCATGCGGATCGTGTGATCGTCTTGCGTGTTGAGAGGCTGTCTGCTTTCGCCTCGTTATAGCCCCGATTAAATGTGTACTTTTATACTGAAGGTTGCAGATGACAGATTCATCACGGTTGCACCGAGATCTATTACGATCTACTGATCTAATACGTGCAGTACGTAACGGTTTTACTCCACTGGAGTCAGGAACACTCGACGGTAATGAACGATTACAATTGTTCATATTTCACTTACGACTGCAGTGAGATTTATGGAGATTTTTCACTATGAAAACATACAGTACATAGTATACTGAATCGTTATATAAAAAAACAACTATGTTTATCAACGGAAGGCCACGAATGTCCATATGATGCCATATAATAAGACCACCGTACGCTAGATCATATTATGATTGCTTCAATTGCCCTATGTTTTGAAAAATCGTGGATGTGCCACGACCGTTTTGAACTTGCTTAAAACTTTCTTGGCCCTTCCCGACCTAGCACTCACACACGTGCGGTCATGCGTCCACGCTTAGCCACGCAGGGTCCGACCACAGATGTCTATTGGGGTTAATGTTTAGGAGTAGATGCGGACTTTCGATTTCTCATCCTATCTTCTACCATTTTGCAGTGCGGTGTACCTTCAGAGCAACACGAGAGAGGCGCTCAAGTCACCCTGACGAGTATAAATCTCGATATTTCCTCTGTACGCAAGTCCAAAACAACGCAATACTTTTGCAACATAATGAGATTGTGTGTGCCAACACAACGTGAAATTGTACCCTTTTTGTTGATTTTTCCTGAATTACATTATAAATGTTTCTCGAAAGTTGTCAAAGAAAAGCTTAGAATTGGGACTTAAGCGAACCCTAGACCCTACACAGATCGGACTTCGCGCTTTGCAGTGCAGGGGGGCTCTGTTGGGCCCTGTCTTCGAGCGAATATTAGACTCGGCCATGCTTTCAAAGCTGAAGTGGCCCAAAATGGCAGACTAAAAATGTCCCATTACAATAAGAAGCTTAATGGAGTTAAAACATCAATGATAATTGTAGTTACTTGCCTTTCATATACTTCCATCTTGTATGGTATTTTTTACTAAAAGTTACAGTTTCAGGCCAATAAAAGCACATTCTGCTCAGTTTGGAGCTCCGCATCATAGGCCTATACCCAATGCAAAAAGCTTTGACGTGTTGCCAGTGGGTGGACCCATTTACTACTCCTGTAATGAGCCTTATGTAGCGTCGCCATTTTATAGACGAAAGTAGAGCAACTAGTTTATCAAGGTGTGTAGTCTACAGTTGTAGTGAAGGCAGTCGGAACACAAAGCTTGGAATGTGTTTTACCACCACTTTATTCGACAATGACTGCGAAGGTTGCGATGAAAAACGTTGAACTGGAGTATGTGTCTATAGTAGTAAGTGAAGTGAAGTAGCTAAGTAAGTAAAGTAGTGTCGAACTATCCATGAGACCAGGGCTTATACAGTTTGAAACAGGATGTAGTCGAAGTGAGAAAAATGAAGAAAGTCTTAGTCATGCATCTTGGTTGATTGTCAGAATAAAAACGCACGGACGTAGGAACCAAGGGGGCCAGGGGCCAGTGACCCCCTGAAAATATAGTGGGGGGTCGAGCCCCCCTTGAAAAGTTCTGTAATTTGCATTCTCAGAGAGGAACTATTAGAGTGGATAGTATTTGTAGCAGTGTGTGATCATTTTACTCAAATCACATTGGAAAATGAAAATTTTAATATTCACTTTCAATCAGTATCTTGCGGTTCCTGTCCCTCCCGTGCCTACTTACTACGAGGAGTCCCATTTTAATTACGAAGTACACAAGTGAGCCGCATCGCAGGCTGTGTCTATGTCCGAAACAGGCTTACAGAGCTCACGGCTAGGTCGTCTTTTTTCTCGGTGTCTCCCCGTATTTCCAATGGAGCGAAGCCATAGAACTAACTCTAGACAACAGATTCAGATGCAGCTGGTCCCCTTGTCTACATTACTTTAATTTCTTCCTGTTATTTCTACCCTCCAGAGGCTCAACTACAGTGTCCACGTAGAAATAAATCCCACAATGACACACCCACGAATAAACATTTTTTAATTAAATCGCCCGAAAGTTTATTCCCCAAATCAATCTATAAGAGAGAGTGTGTCTGAATGGGATTGAGCCATCACTTCTTATCCAAAACTGAAATATCCACAAGCTCCTTTCTTTGTTAATGGCTGAGGTAAAGTAAGACTGTGTTCACTATGACTACTCATTTTTGGTGGTTTCCTCAAGTAAATGAAAGTTTTACTGAAACATATCCCCATACTATTTTTAACTTAAAGATTTAAAGCTTGTGCACGTCATCAAGTCTGTGATGTCATCGATAGGCAAAGCTTTAAGATAGCAGCTGGTTTATGTACAAAAATTAAAGAATATCTGTATTTTTTAAAGAAAAACTCCACTATTGAATGGGTGTTTAGACTTTCCAATACTTATTTCAAGGAGACCACCATTTCCTTTGGCAACATTTTGGTTCTTGATTTTATGTGTAATGCTTCTGTGAGCCACTTTTCCTGTTAGGAGTTTACAAAACTTCACCTTCATAATGTGCAGTTTAAGGTATGTCATTTTTAAAAAATTAATTTTTACATCAGATTTTACAACAATTAACTTATTTTTGTTTAACTGTCAAACATTGATTTGAAATGCTGAAATTTCAAAATATCGATTGCTCAAAAATCTTCCAGTGAGGCTTATGTATCATGCACTACAGAGCACAAAACCTTACACAAAATTTGCCGACCCCACACCGTATACAGGTTTTGCGCTACGCGCTCAAAATCACATGGATTGGACTCCCCACAAAGAGATTTCATCTTCTGGCTCCTTGGTAGAATCATCTTCCTACGTGCCTGTAACAACGAATGAGTTTTATATTAGAACAGTGATCATGTTAACTTCTAAAACACTGGGAAACTTTCATAAGGAAATGACAATAAGATAACTTGGGTATGCTTGTGGGCTTAGCAAGGTCACATGCCCTGCAGACAAAAACAATGCGGATGGGTGTACACGCGTGTGTTGTAGTTGTGTGCTTGTACAAGGGAAAGGTAATGCATCTAAGAACTGGTAATTAGGACTTGAATATTGGAAATAAAAAGTTCTTGTGGAGTGCTTATTGACTAAAAAGTAATATACATGTACTTTAAGTTAATAAAATTGGAGTAATAAAATTGAAGTTATTGTTCGGAAAACGCTACACCTCTATTCAAGAGTCGACTACTTGCCTCAACTGTGAAGGTTGCACTGGCCACTTGCAGGCCGGTAATTAACTACTCGGACTATGGAGGAAGGACACAAACCTCCTACGTGCTCAGACCCGCGAATAACGTACGTTGCACCATTCTACCTCCATGGTTGCACCAGCTGTCGAATTCTCTGCAATAAAAGCAAATTAATTAATGTGGGGCGTGGCTAATGGGCTTTAAAAGAAGAGTGGAAGCCATAAGCAGGACTGTCTGTTGTATTTTGAAAATATTCGACGAAACGGGGTCTCCCAAATTGTCTGTTTTGTCATGGAGTGCAGCAAGGCATCAATTTCCATATGGCCGTGGCTTCACGACTTTTTTCTGGGGTGATCATCTGGTAATAAAAATATCTTTAAACCTCATCTATGAAGCCACTATTTTTTAACTGTAAGAAGAGGAAATGAACTTTAATTTGATGTGTGTCTCGAACACCTGAGAAAATTACGAGTTTTTCCTCTTTTTTATGGGGCATTCATCACTAATTGTACCATGGGACTTTCTATCTTTCAGTATTTGCAAGCACGCAGAGACAGAAACATGATCATGTTCACAGTGAAATGTCTGTTTGGCTTGGTAGACTGTCAGTCTGTCAAAGCCAACATAACAGTTAACACTCGGCATCAAGATATTCTCTCTTTT